TCTAGATTGATTAAGGCCTTCCCTTGCTTTGCTTTTGGAAGATTAGTTATATACTTTTCCAAGATTCGGTCAAGGGTACTTCTACTAATAAATGTATACTCTATTTGGTAGATATTATGGAGGAAAAAAGGTGGCAGCCAATGAAAACAGTTAAGATCAAAGAAAAAATAAATGATAAGCAGGCCATGTCCAATATATTAGTAGGCACCAAGAGCAAATCCAATGTCCAATATATTAGTGGGCACCAAGAATGAATCCAACATCCAATGTATTATTAGCACCAAGAACAAACCCAACGTCCAATATATTAGTGGGCACCAAGAATGAATCCAACATCCAATATATTAGTGGGCAACAAGAATCCAATGTCCAATGTATTAGTGGACACCAAGAATAAATCCAACATCCAATATATTAATGGGCACCAAGAATGAATCCAACATCTAATGTATTAGTGGCAACAAAAATCCAATGTCCAATATATTAGTGGGCACCAAGAATGAATCCAACGTTCAATATATTAATGGGAACCAAGAATTAATCCAACGTCTAATATATTATTAGTAGGCACAAAGAACAAACCTAATATCCAATGTATTAGTGGGTACCAAGAACAAACCCAACGTCCAATATATTAGTGGGCACCAAGAATGAATCCAACATCCAATGTATTAGTGGGCACCAAGAACAAACCCAATGTCCAATATATTAGTGGGAACCAAGAATGAATCCAACGTCCAATGTATTATTACACCAAGAACAAACCCAACGTCCAATATATTAGTGGGTACCAAGAATGAATTCAACATCCAATATATTAGTAGGCAACAAGAATCCAATGTCCAATGTATTAGTAGGCACCAAGAATTAATCCAACGTCCAATGTATTAGTGGGCACCAAGAATGAATCCAACGTCCAATGTATTATTAGTGAGCACAACATCTAATATATTATTAGTGAGCACAAAGAACAAACCTAACGTTCAATATATTAGTGGGCACCAAGAATGAATCCAATGTCTAATGTTTTAGTGCCACCAAGAATTAAAGCAATGTGGAACCAAGAACCAACCAACCAACAAGAAATAAAAAAAAAGTATGCCAGCCGTTAAAGGTAAAACAAACCATCATACAAAAAAAAAAAAATCAAGATAAAAGCAAAAAGGCTTTTTATGCTCTTATTCATAATGACGTTATTACTACATCTTTTGTAATGATATTATTATATTTTTTGAAAATTTTAAAGATCTTGCGTCAGATTACAGCTAACACACGTCAGGTGACCGATCAACAAGTAACATGTGTCATCTGAAAATTGGCATCTGACGTGTGTCGGATTGCATTCGACGCAAGGATGCATCTGAGGCACAACATATATATATTATAAGAATCTACTCTGCTTTAGTTGTCCTTTTTTTCAGGATCTTTGTGCTGTTGAAAATTTCCACCGGAGTACCTTCTTCTTAGATCTTGACAAGGGAAGTATTTTTATTCCTGTTTTCTTTTTCTTTCTCTTCTTTTTTTCCTTATTTACTGATCTTCTCTCTTGTATTTTTAGTCTTCCGGATCTTTGTACTTTTTTTGGAATTAGAACTTGCAAGAGCGGATCGCTTGAAGGACAGAATATGGAATTTCACCTGAACTGAGACTTGGGTATGGGACTGCGGCTTGAATTGGGAACCTAAGACTTAAATAGTACTGAAAGATAAGTAACACCTTTATTTATTTTTTTTTTTCTTTGGTATTGGGTAGGTTACTAATCCTTCTTCTTCTAAGTTCATTCTACCAGAACTAGAACTTGGAAGCACGGGTCTTCTTAGAGTATAGAATATGGATCTTCTGAACGTATAATAATTCGAATAGTTGGTTCTTGGGATGGTAGACTTTTAGATAAATGGTCTCTTTTTTTTTTTTTTTTTATTTCTTTAATAATTTTTTTTTTTTGTATATTGTACCTAATTATTCTTTTCTTTTTTCAGGTACAATTCTTCCTGGTGTTAGGTCCTCCTGGTGATTTTTTATAGACTATTGGACGTAAGATACGTATATAACTGCTTATTTGGTTTTTTTTTATTTTGTTTTCTTTTCTTTTACTCTACCATTTTTTCCTACTATTTTAGGATAGTATTTTTGTAGACAATACTAGTAGAATGAATTTGGAATTTTGAATGCACGTAGAGAACTATTCGTGAGAAGATATTAACACAAAACTTTTAAAAGCTAAGTATCAATTTTGTCTTTTTTTTTTATTTTGTTTCGCTTGTTTACTAATACTACATTAGATTTTTAGAGCATCAGGATATTGGGCAAGAGTATTTTGGTGAGTGAACTTTAGATGAAATGTTGATCGATAATCGTAAGAACAGGAACGTAAAGGGCATATAAATCGGGACTTTCAAGACTTAATTTAATAGGACAGGGCCATCTTTAACTTGAGTTTCTCTGGGTAGGCGACCTGAGGTCCTGTTGTCGTTGCCAAATGTAACTGAAATATTCGGTTATAGAATAGGTTCAGGTCTTTGTTAGGAGAAATTCAAGATGAAGAGGCTTTGTTTTATTAAATCGTGAAGACTTGAGACAGTGTATGATGCCTTTACAAAGACTTTTTATATATGTTTTTATATATTTAAGAGAACTACTCTACTAACTACTATTTTTTAGATTATTCTTTCTAAAACTTATTGCAAACTCTCCTTGTTACAAACCTGTTTGATATTTAAATACTATCCTAACAATATTATGCATAATGATCTATGCATAACGAGAATAATAAAATAACGATTTTATAATAAATAAATAAGCAAAAAGTTTGTTAATTCGTCGGTATCACGTGATCATTATAGTGCGTAATGTTTACTATAGCCAACCTTATAATTATGTTACAATATAATAAACAATTTGTAAAGTTAATAAATTTTATAAATAGTTTGCAATAGTTAAAAAAACTATATTATTAAACAGTATATTAATATGTATTTACTAGTTATTTAACAATAATTGTTAAACAATAGAATACATATACAGTGGTACTATATTATTATAGACACTTTTTAAAAATTTGTATAGAGCTAAATAAATAAGATATAAAGCTAAAAATTATACAAATTATTATTTAAA